AGGGTTCTCTCTTTTTGGCCAAACAAACACTGATTGTTAATAAGCAGCAACAAGTTTATGGGAAAACTTACACTGTATGCATTCCAGCCCTGAAGTGATAGCATCCCTTGAGGTAAAATCAAAGGTGCATAACTGGAAGGACTTGGGCTAGGAATAAAAGATGCTCTTGACCAGTTTGTAATCCCTCCTGGGTATGACTGCTGACCAGGAGTAGTTGGTGATTGGATGGTTGGATAAACGGGAGAGCCACGCAATGAAACCATCATATTAGCTGGCTGAGGGTGATGGAATTTACAAGTGCTTCCAAACTTACATTGTCCAGTTCTTAAATAGTAAGCACACTCAGTCTCATTCTGCTTGAAACAAAATCCCAAAAAAAAAAAAAAAGGAGAGGAAAATATTACAACCAGATCTAAGAAGAGTACATGCGAGTATGCGACCATTAAATAACCATTTCTTAGAAATAAATACTTTTTGAACAACATTTTTCTGTGATTATAGTCCAAACTACAGACAAACTGTGTGATCAACAATGGTCCCATATCCAGCTATATTGTTTCATATATTAGTTTGTCAAGCTGTACAATCGTATGACTTAGGTATATTGTTTCATTCAATATCCTTGTCTTCCAAAATCTGACAAACCACAATGATATCTTATTAGTTTGCTATCTTGCTAAACCAATCCTATGCATATGTTGTCTATTACTATAAAAAGACAATGAATAGAAAAATTTAGAACAGGAAACTGTTCTAATATATTATATATGACTAGGAATTTGTATCATATGATAGGATTTATAGTAAAAGGTTTTGGCCAAACAAAAATAGTTATAGGTGAAATAAAAATATCAAATCCTTACTGGGCGAAGTGGGTAGCCGAAAACATTTAAAGGAACTCTGCCAGCTATCCCAGCCTTGTCTTTAGGATGATGGAACTTGCATGTAGCACCAAACTTGCAAGTTCCTGTCTTCAGGTAGTACTGTAGAACAGTAAAAAGCAGAATATTAGTTACCAGACTACTGCATACATACAAGAAATAGAAAAAAATTTTACTCCAGTATTATTGTAAGCATTAACAAATAACAACTAAACCCAGAGAAGTAAGTCACAATAACATGCTACCTACCAATCCCATATAAGCTAAGATTGAATGCTATCTAAATTTCCTAGAATGAACAAAATGAATTTAACAAGAAAAAAACAAAGAGAATGAAAATTCAATCATCTAATGAAGCAGTGTTGAGACTACAATGTGATTCTTATGTCAAGCTGTGTTACTCTATAGAATTAGAGGCAACATTCTGCTAATACAAAATAGATGCCTTAGGGTCAGCAACAGCAGGATTTGTGTGAAAGAACTGTCTCCTTTCATGGCTTCACACGAGCCTAAACAAAAGGAGGAAGAAACCATATAGAAAGTAACAGTAACACAACATCCCTTTATCATCAACATTTTTTTTCTATAAATCTGTTTCAATAAATACTTTATTTAACTTAAAAATAATTCAGGTTCACCATGTTCAACATTCAGCAGAAGATGCTAAAAATAAACGATATGTCAAATATGCACAACTTTATTTATTTATTTTTTTAATGTTATGCGGACAAGCAACCTTAAAAAATAAGTTTAGATCACAACAAATTCTAGCGCACTAAAATTATTTTACTTGACATTGTGATATGCCAAAATCTCAAGACATTATAATTCTAGTTATAGTGAATTTCTTTTCTGTACAACATGTCTTATGTTTTATGTACTCTACAAATTTGCAAAACAACAAACAGAATTTGCATCTAGGAAGCTAGATAATAAATACATGCCTGACATTCAGGTTGTCCTATTCTTTCTGGGAACTCTCCTTTCATCCTTGCAGCTGCAATTGCCTATAAATCAACATACCCTGAATGAATACATCATTCAACATAATTTTAATAAATAAATCAACTTTAGTTTTCTATTCATAACTATGGCAAATTGCTGGCATTAAGTTGAATAAACCATCACTAGCACATGAATTATATTAATGTATTTAACTAGCATGTTGATTTGATATACAAGATTATACTCACCCCTCGAAAGTAAGCATCTAATACTCTATAATATTCTTTGAAAAGAACTTTGTTTTAGCTATGTAGGAATACATGGTGCAAAGGTTTGGGTATGTAGCACCCTAACAACCTATTACATGACCACTATTATAATGAAAGGCTTCCAATTGGATGCAACTAAGTAAGAACCTCATTGGAATTAGAAAAATTAATATCTCACTCATCCTATTAAGCCTGAGATCATAATAATTGTGTCCAGACAGTCTGCAGCTTTGTACCAGCTTCCTATTAGGAGGATGATTAAAACGACATGTTGCCCCAAATCTACAAAAGCCAGTCCTGATGTAAAACGAACAATCTGGTTCCCCAGGACGCTCAGGGTAGGGCCCAGGTTCCATTGCTTCATTTGATCTCAAATTCATTTGCCACATAGCATCTGAAATGACATTAATTTGGTAAGCTCAGTACACTGTGCATACATCGCACAAGATATTCAAACAGCAAGTTAGCAATAAATTTAAGGATTACATTTCCTCATCCATCACTGATTGGCTTAGTGGCCATCCCCTAGTAGGGGGCAGTGTTTAGGACATCAAAGTCCTGGGTTCAAACCCAGGCACTTACTCCCCCACCCCCAATCCCCCACCCCCAAGTTTCCCCAGTTCAGAAAAAAGGATTACATTTCCTCAATATTCAAGGAATGTCTATAACCCTCACCGATTCACAACTTGGTATAGCTTTAAAGCTCTTTTGATTCCATAAAAAAGTATTTAAACAAAAAAATCCATCTGAATATAAGTATTCTGAAAAATTAAAACAAAATCATGCAAACAAGAAAATGAGTAAATCCACATGTCTAATTAAGTTTCAAATCTTCACACATTATTATAAAATGAAAATTTCTAATAAAAGAAAACACCAGCATCTATGGAAGCATGAAATCAGATATACTCATTCCAAAAGGTTCAGAAAATGAAATATTTAACATGTCATAAATCTACCATATAAAAACATCCTCAAACTTTGGCAAACATAGCAACCATGGTTCTCAAAACCCTGAGCCTCACATTTTGAATAAACTTCCCTAATAATGTATTCTCTAATTCTGATCTCATCACCAAAGACAAATTGAGAAATACTTATTCCTCCAACTTTTTATGTCATAACTGTTCAGGTACACAAAATTTGGGTCAAGTCAAAACAGTACAACAAATGTAATGCCAACAGCTTGACCAGAATTCCGCCAGTAGATTAACATGTACCATCAATCCAGAACCTCCAAAAAGCCATGCAAAGCAAGAAAAAACGCCCAGGAACAGAAAAAAAGCTAACTAAACTTCAACCTTTGGAACAGTATGTGGATATTGATACACAGACAATTCAAGACACATTTAGAAAGTTTTAACAAGAACAGAAATTAAAGTCATACCACTAACAAAGAATCCATATGCAGAAAACTCCACCACAAAAGAACAACATAACTAGATAAACTTACTACAGACAACAGAGCAAAAAATTTAATCAAAGAAACAACTTTAGTGGCATTTAAAGCTCAAAATCTTACATAGAGGTGAATTTAAAGCTACAACTTCAGCATTGATCAAACCCAATTTATGCACCAAAAAGGAATGATACCAGAACACTTAAACTAACCAAAAAAAGAAAAAAACAAAAAAAAAAACTGTCTAAAATCAAATCCTGAATTGACCCCACAAGAAGGAAAGAACCCAAAAGGGATGTTTCAACTTAGAAAACCATGATGATCTGCAGCTTAATTTCTTCTATTCAAAACAAATCACAATCGCATGAAATTCCATCATTTCTCAAACTCTGAACCATAAAATCGCTGACAGAATTCATGATGAAGCACGAATTCAAGATGACCAAATCACAATTAACCGAAAGAAAGTGAATTTACCAACAAATTGGGCCAAAAAGACAATTCCCAAAACTCAACAACACAAACATAAAAAAACTCAAACAACATTTCATTTCGCCGAAGAAAATAATCAAATTCAAAACTCAAAACCAAAAAAAAAAACAGAGTACGAAACACATACCCTGATTCAACGACGGCGACAGAGACGAGATTCCTTCAGTCACAACCGAAGCTCTAGACATCGCATCAAACGAATTCCATTCAGAAGTCATCCTCCTCCATCACCACCACCACCACCACAACCTCTAGCAACTCCCTCCCGCCGTAATTCTCATCCCTTGACCCAAAATCCCCTCGTCAGCCCTCAAACCACCAAAACGATTCGCTTTCCTCCTTCCTGAAAACCGGAAACTCTCTCTTCTTCCTCGTCTTCCTCGTCTTCCTCCTTCCGTTTGTTCTGATACAGAGAGAAAAGCAAAGAGCGTTCTCTTCTCCTCTCCACAAAAAATCAAAAGAGAGGGAATAAAAACCAACCATCCCACACCCACTCCCCCTCACCCCTCCCTTTTGCTTTTTCACCCGCGTTGCGTTTCTCACAAATACGGCGATCCTCCCCTTTCCCACTCGCTCGAGTACACATTTTCCTCTCCACTCTCCACTTCCTCCCGACGCGTAAGCATCAGCATTTTTCCCTGGCGATTTATTCTCCTCCGATTGGTTGTCTGTGGTAGAGTAGATTTTGGAGCCGACACGTGGCGGATAACTACAGCGAGTGGAGGGAGAGTGGGACGAGAGGTGTAGGGGTGGTTTTGCTATTTCCAGGTATGTTTACTTTTTAAATATTTTTTGGAGTAACTGTCGAAGGGTCGTATGGTATTGTTGTGTATTTTTCTTTTTCCCTTTTTTTTTTTCTGCTTTTTTATTTCCATGGTGGTCCGTATCCGCCTTTTTAATTTTCTATTTTAGTCAAACAAGGACACTTGCTATAAATAATCTGCCTTTTTTTAAGAAATGAATTAAAAGATGGGGAGAAAAATTGACTCCCTTCTAATTTTAGAATCTTAATTGTTGTAATGTTTGTTTTAGTGATTTGAAAATAGTTATTAATGAATAAATTTAATATTTTAAATATTAAATTATTATTATTATTAATTATTAATTATATTTAAATAATTAATCCAAATATTCTTGTAGAGTTGAAGTATAAAAAGTAAAACATAAGTTTGTGTTTGTCAGTATTGCATTGTTGTTGTTGATTTTTTTTTGTCTTTTTGTTATTTTAAAATATATAAAATATTAATTAAAATTAATAAAAATATATAAATAATTAATTAAAAATATATACTTTAAAATAAGAGATTTACTTATGTATTATATTTATACAAAATCTTAATGATTTATTTTTTACTTTTAATAGGTAAAATTTATAATAACTTTTTAAATAAAAAATTAATTATTTTTAATATATAAAAATAAATCTCAACCATCAAAAATAAAACATTAGTAATTAAAATTTTATATAAATATAATTAAATTTATATATAAATGAACCTCTACTCACATTTTAATATTATCTACTCATATATTTTAATATTATGTGAAAAAATCTCCACAAAATATTGTGAAACGAAGCTATAATCAAATTAGTGGATAAGTCACGTGACTATCACTTCTCAACCAAGGCATTGTCTGTTAGCTTAATGGGAATTGGAGTGAGAAATAGCCTCAAAAGACAGGTTTTATTTTTTATTTTTTTCTCAAGTTTTGTACTTAGTTAAGTGGAGAGATCTGTAATGGATCCAAATTGGAGATTGACTTATACTATATATAAAAAGAAGATGTTATATTGGTTATATAATCTATTTATTTATATAAAAAAAATACAATAATTATAATAACCATCAAATACCATGTATTAATTCTTCCTTTCTCATCAGCTTCACACATCCTCCATGGAACTTGTCTAATCAAGTACAAGGTCAAAAAAGGGAGAAACATATGCCTTTTCTAAGCAGATCCCTTGACAAGATTTGGAGGTTGTGTGACCATGGAAAGGTCATACTGCCCCAGTGGAAGGGAGGAGAGAGTGAATTCAGGTGAGAGCTGAAGATTTTCCCAGCCGCCGGTGGAGGTAGATATAGAACTATCACATCCTATGTGTGTCACATGCTTTACATCCGTTGGGAACCCTATTTCCATTTCTTCTCCCTTAAGTTCTTCCATCTCTTCCTTATATGCTGAAAATTCAGAGAAATCATGAGATCAAAGAAAATATAGGAAACGCATATGGAAGGTAATGGCTAGAGATCCACTTAAAATAAGAATAAAAATCATCTGATGCTACAATCAATATATATCATAATAAAAAGCAGAATTAAAATAGGTTTTAAAGTAAGATCGGTGATTAACCTTATATTTTAATAGTTTCGTTCGTTAATATAATTGAAATCTAAAATAAATAAGCTATTATAATGTGAAACTAGCGTTGGATACATACCAAATAGTTGAGAGAAAGTTTTGAAAGACTTGAAGAGCCTATGAAATCCAGTGGATATGTCAGCCTTTGGATGAGCCAAGAACTTCAATGGATACTTCATGCTTTCACTCGACAAGCTTTCTTGGTCTTCCTCCACAAATCCTTCAACAAAATCCAAGACAAAAACCTGTAATCCTCCTCCAAACCCGAAAAGAAAACGAAAGAAACAGAGAAGAAAAACAAATGAGGAGAGAGAGAAAGAGAGAGACGCACTAGCATCAGTCTTTGATGATCTTCTAGAGTGGTGCCCCTGAACAGCCACATCTACACTAGATGCAGAGACACAACCAACTGAGAATGGAAGAACAACAAATCTTTCCATTCTGTCTCTCATTTCGGCATCATACAGCCAATGAGAGAAAAAAGGCAAAAGGGAGAAACCGATCGAAATGGTTGTTGGGTTGAGTTAGTGGGGAAAATGGTTTGTTATGGGGGGGTATATCTGGAGGGTGGTGGCACTGACTTTGTTTTTAAGTTTTAATTTTATATGTACAAAAAAAGTCAAGATACATATGATATTAGCATAATCGGTTGTTAGAGAAAAGGACAGTGAGACATAAAGAATTAGTAGAAGAATAGAATACCTAACTTATAGGTACAATGAGAGGAGGTGTAATGATACACTGCTAATAGACAAAGTTATATGCCTTTCTTCTTGGCCTGCTTTTTGACGTTAAATAATAATATAATCTTTACATAAGTACTATAAATTAAAGTATTTCAATGTTTTTGGAGAACTTAAAGTACTTCAATATTAATATATATCAGTATATATTATATTGATTTTACATTTATAGTAAGCTATTGTTTATTTTGATTCATAAATTTCATGTTTTTGTCTTTAAAATGGAGAAAAGATATTAGCATCTTCTTCTAATGCACAACCATAATGTATTGAACATCTATCAACGTATAAGTATAATCCATCACTAACTCATTAATGAAAGACGGGGTTAGGTGATTCTTTATTTTTAAATCACAAATTAGTTATTTTTTATTTTTAAGTTGTAATTTATGTAAAAAATTTTAAAACTTATTATTAAAGATAGTATTTAAATTGTTAACACAAAAAAAAAAAATACGGGGTTCTGCAAATGACAACAATATTAATATTGATATTAAGACTTGTGCTGCAGCCCTAACAATGTAATGAAGAGGGTGAAAAATATCAAAAAAAGGAAATCTACATTAATTGAACAGAATGTTAAGCCTACTGCAAAACAAGTAATCGTTGATGGAAGCATGCACCCTAATATCAAGGGTCCACTCTTTTCATTAATAATTAAGTGAAAAACAATTTGCATAGAGCAAACTGTATTTTTTTTGTTAATTAAATGTAAAGGGTAATTGTAGTTTAAAATATTAGAGGGCTAATCCATTAATTCCTCCGCAAGGCCCTTTTAAAGACAAAATCACAAAACCATAAGACCCACAGATCAAAGCAAACAATATACAATTGGAGAGGAAGTAGCACAAATCCTTACATCAACACAAACAGATACTCGTTAGCAGTGTAACCAAGTTGTAACGGGATTACGAGGTGAATTTTAAGCTAACAAAAGTTTGTGTTTTGGACGGACAATCAGGTAAAGGCAGGTGAAATAGCTATATCAAAAGCCTACAAAACTTTCACCATTCTAAGCCTCACGTGTGGACTCTATCTAAGTTGTACTTCTTTTTCTTCAAACTTTTCCCTTAGTTTGGACTCTACCTTTCAAGTCGTGTATCACAAGCTATCTTTTATGTTGAGATGGATACCAAAAACCAAGTGGGTATTTCTTGATTTCAAAGAAGAAAGTCATGATTGATGGCTAGAATGAGAATCTGGTTGCAGAGCACAATGGAAAACAAATTCTTTTGAGTAACATACAAGATCAGCTCAAAAGTTTCGCTTGCATCCTTGGCAATGTTGATGCTAGTCTTGCGAAAACATAATGTCATTTCCTTAACAATATTAAGTTTCATAGTCAAAATAAGTGTAAGACTGATAATCAAGCCAATGGCCCTTTCAGCCGTTCCAATGGTAACGACAACAGGATTTCTAGGTAATTTCTTGCAAGCGTCTCCACAGCAGGTGGCATAGTAGCACTGAACATATAAGTTGTAACTTGCACGGTAAATGTTTTTCTCATCAAACTCTTCAACGTTAACTCCATTCTCTGGTTTCAAGTTGCCGGAAGGCATTACATCCAAGCCACGCACCACCCGCTCGTCAAAACCTATATCTATCATGGGATTGGCCTCATTAAGAACAACAAAATTACACTGGTTCAAAACAGCATGCAGCCTTTCCACGCAAAGCAATCATTAATTTTACAGTTAAAGCTATATTTCTTAAAGTTGAGTAGCAACCATCTTAAAATTCTTAGACATTGAAGCTAAAGATCCTCGTTCATTCAATTTTCATTAAAGGCAGAATCCCCCAGTTAATCTGCAGAGGGTAAAATGATAAACCAGTAGTTTTAGAACAAAGCCAACAAACATTTTCCAGTGAATCTTTCACCAATGCAAACTCCTACTACTTTGGTTCTATTTAAGTCAAATGACTTCAAACTTATGGGAGAGGATTAAGACATGAATCCATATTCAACTGGTTTTGTAAACTCATAACAACCCACTCCTGAACGCCAAAGAAAAACACCTCACCATCGTCTTTACATTTTTAATTACAGGCAAATACCAAGAATTAATGTAATGATGAAGTGCCCCCACTATAGCTTCTCAACTGGTAAGAACTCAAGACTCCAAGTTAAAGGTCTTAGGTTCGAACCTTAAGATAGATGGAGAGGGATTCGGAAAAAGGGAAAGCTGTCCCTTATTATATAACCCATCTTCAAATGTGTCAAAAAAAATGTAATGATGAAACAACCTTCAGAATTTATTGTTTTCCTGTTAGACTATTATAAATAGGGCACATTTCAGCTTCTTTTGTAAAATCATGCATTTCTAAACATGCCAGTCATGAGTCACGACTTTCATTTGTCTCAAAAATGGAGGAGGAAACAAACACAACGAAAAATGACAAAAACCATAGCATATAAAGAGCTCCAAAATTTTTTTATCCTGCTTCAAAATGTATAGGATGCTCAGTGATACCAGAACTAGACTTAATCTGACATCTAAGGAAATGAATTTTGTATTCAAGGACAATCATAGTAGAACCAAATATATATCAAACATTCTTGGCTGTAAACCATAAGAGAATTAATAGGAAGAAGCCTTAAAAATAGTAAAAATTTAAATCCAAATTTGTGGTCTGGGTGAGTATGCAAGCATTTCAACTGATTACTAACCTTCACTGTTGTGAGAATGCACTCTGGTGTGCACCCTCCATGGCACACATTTGAACTTCTTGAATCAAGACAAATTTTTGTCTTTAGCAATGTACATCTGATCTGATATTATAAGAAAATTAAATGAATAATCTATCAAGAAGAATAATCAGTCAAATGCTTTGAAAATTAAATGAAGAAAAAACACTTGATCTGTTTATCTTGTAAATGTAAAATTTTGGGGTTGAGATTAAGCAAAGCAATGATTTCCTAGAGGGCTTTTTGCATTGAAATGTACATTTGCATGCTGATAAGCAAGTGAAGCACATCTATACATTACTGATTGCAGTGAGATGAAAGCATTAGAACAAGAGATTGACGTTTTACAGTCTGTACTGCAAGAAAAAATATCAGTCCAGCATGGGAAAAGACAAAAATACCATTTAATGAATCTTCATGCACCCCAAATTCATTAAGGGTATTTTTGTCTTTTCTAGCTCCAGACTGATTCTTTTCTACACGGCAGACCATAAAAAATATTTTGGTTTAAGTAAGAATAAATTAATACCCTGTTTGCAAGCGGATTAAAGAAGTCTTCTAATTTTCTTTTCTCCAACCTCAAAAGTTAAATAAATATGAAAGATGAAGTGGTGTGATGACTGTACGTACATTAATATGGAAGAGCTTTGTGAAATTTCAAACAGTTTTATAGACATTCAAAATTCCCCAAGAAACATTTTCAAGATGTAGAAATTGCAGCTGTACCAGAAAGATCTAGAGATGATTAGATCTGATCAGGTTCCGATACAGCATAAGTCAGAAAGCCAGGTCACTTTAGATAAATTACAACAACAAAATTGTAAGACCTGTTTTGATGTCTCTGTAATGGATGACTGGGAGATATGGACCTGAACCTAAAATGCAGTTAAGTAGAGTTGATGCATCATTTTCAGAAAGTAGGAAAGATGAACCATTGCTGAAATCTAAAAATCACCTGTTTGTTGAATCTTTAATATCCTTATCACGATTGATGCCGGAGAGCAAACCTTAGAGGTTTAACTTTAGACGGTGATTCCCAAGTTATCCCCATGGACCTTATTGATGTATAAAAGATTCAATTCCAACCGCAGGGCTTAATCTAATAGGTGAGATAACCCAATGGCTGAGTTTATTGAATATTGCATCTTTTGAACAATTTACAACTCATGAAAAAGGCAACAGGTTTGATCACCAATAATCTCCACAAGAGCAGTGACCATATTTAAAATGATGAAACCGATGTGTATCCCTCACAATTATTTCTCTATCTAAAAGCAGAGAAGTATACTTGATAAAATTATGACAGTCATTGCAAACTCTAAGGTTTTTCATTATCCGAATTGGTGTTCTAGAGGATGTGCTAATGATGCCATAAGCAATAGCGAGTTTTTCACTGTGGACACCAAGAAGCATTTCTCCTTGTTCTCCTTCTACATCCTGCATCACAAGATGCACATCAGATGAGTACCCAACTTCCTTCAGCCTTCCAATTAACTTGTCCAAGTATGTGTATATCTCAGCATCTTGTGGATGAGATCTATCTCCCATGATAAAAGCATGAACCTGATTCTTGATCTGGATCCAAGACTGAGCAGGGTGTTTTTTAACACCTCTTTGCTGCATCAAACTCCTCACATGTGCAGCTTCATCCCATCTATGTTCAATAGCATAGATGTTTGATAACAAGACATAAGATCCAGCATCAAGTGAATTCAGATGAAGTAGCTTTTCAGAAACCCACCTCGCCATCTCAATATTTTTGTGAAGCCAACAAGAAGCTAAAAATGACCTCCATACTGCACTCATCTGAGAGAGACCATTTTCATGGATAAAATTCTTTGCCTGTTTCAAGCGACCAGCTCGCCCATATAGATCAACCATACAAGTGAAATGCTCCACCCCAGGATGGATGCCATAAACTTCTTTCATCAATCTGAAATATCTAGAACCCTCTTCAAGCAGCCCTGCATGGCTACATGCTGTTAAAACTGTTACAAAAGTGACCTCATTTGGTGTTATCCCCTCACTTATCATGCATTCAAAAAGCCAAACAGCCTTCCTCCCCTGCCCATGCATAGCACAACCAGATATCATTGAAGTCCACAGTACAATATTCCCATCATTTGTTTGTTTGAAAATCATCCAAGCATCCTCCAAGTTTCCACATTTGACATACATGTCAATCAACGAGGATCCCAAGTGAGCATCTATTCTGTGGCCACTTTTCTCAATGAGAGCATGAACCTGCCGACCAAGCTCAAAAGCTCCAGAATTAGCACAAGCACAAATAATACTAGTGACAGTAAAAAGATCAACCTCAACTTGTTCATGGACCATATAGGTAAATGTTTTCAAAGCATCTTCATACTCACCATTTTGAACAAATCCAGAAACCATTGTACTCCAGGAAACAATATCCGTAAGTGGTTGGAGGCAAAATGCCTCAGAATTTTCTTTTCTATCACAGGCCACTGTTTCCCTAAAAGGTATAGATGCCTTATCCAATTTACCAGATTTGCAATACATGTTAATAAGACAAGTTTGTATGAGCCCAGTAACATGAATCCTAAATCTCAAAACCCTTCCATGAATTTGTTTCCCAAGTTCCAGAATTGATAAAGAAGAAACCAAAGCCAAAGCTATAGTGAAAGTGAATCTATTAAACAGAGGTCCATTTTTTACCATCTCATAAAGTAGCTCTAATGCAGTTCTTTCAAATCCATCTTGCATTAGCCCATCAATTACCGTGTTCCAAGTTGCAACATCTTTGAAGGGCAAACTCCTAAACAACTCAATAGCCTTATCCACATCACCAATGTGCAAACTTCCTCCAATAAGTATATTCCACGACACAGTATCTCTCTCTCTCATCGATTCAAACAACTTATTCGCATAGCCAAAATCTTCACACTTCACATAAAGATCAAGAAGTGAATTCCCCAAGACAGAGTCAAAAACAATCCCATTCACTACAATCCACCCATGAACTTCCTTCCCTAAGTTAAGCTCATTCAAACTAGAACAACTCTTCAAAACACTTGACAAAGTGAATTGATTTGGACACACACCCTCATTCTGCATCTCTCTGAATAGCTTCAAAACAGTCCCTCCAGAACTAACTCGAGCAAAACCCGATATAAGAATCGTCCAAGTGCGGACGTCTCTGTTGAGCATATCATCAAACACTTTCTGTGCATGGCCCAGATTTTGAGACTTCACGTACAAGTTCAAAATGTGGTTGCCCATATCTAAATTCTGTAAAGAACCAACCTTGATCACCTTAGCATGAAGGGTATGAAGGTCTATCTCATCTGTGGAACAATCATTAGCGCATGAAGAGTAGTGATATGCATGGGATTTGTATGGGTAAAACTCAAGGTGGGGAGACAATGCTACGGACAGAAAACGTACTTGTTTGAGATAATGTATACTACTAGAGCATCTAGTTCTCAAGCAACCCCATACCATTTTTCCGGAGAGGGCTTTTCCTATTGGGGACTAGAGCATCTTGTGCTCAACACCCCTTACAGTGCATCATTAGGGCTCTCCAGTATCTATCCGGTTAATGACTCAATTTCTTTGTTGGGAGAGGCAGAGAGCTGTTCCTTATCTTTCTTATGGTAAAGAGAAATAACAGTTTTTTTGGCTCCAAATTGCAAAAAAAAAAATGCAGTTAGAATAATGAAACTACCAAAACACTCTTAATCAATTAAGCAGAGTTATTAAGAGTATTTAAATATTTTTACCTCCTAAATTGTAAAAGTCATTTCTAACAAAGAGAAACAAGTTTTAAACTCTCTAACTTAAAATGTACAATGAAAACGATAATTTATATGCTAAAATTATTAAAATATTTTTAATAAATTAACATAGAAAGTTTGTTTAAGGGTTTTCTAGTAAAATTATTTTAATGCAAAAATAATTTTAAAAGAAAGGAGAGAGAAAATGAATTTTTACTCTTGCTGGTTAGGACTTCAAGCTCCATTTTTGCCATTGTTTAGACTTTTTTTTTTTTTTTTTGTTATTTCTAAAGTATTTTGCTTTAGGTTTTATTTAGACTCGGTTTTTTCATTTATTCTGAGCATATTTTAGATACACTAGGAGTATATACAATAAAAAATAATAAAAAAATTTCTTTTAGAGTCATATCACTATAATTAATATTATTTATATAAATTCATATTTTAAATATTTAATCTTTAAATAAAATATCTAATAAAACAGTTTCTTTCCAATGTATATATTAAACAAAACTTTCTCAAAAATCATATTAATATTATTTTATTTAATCTATTTAAAAATTTTTCAAATTAAAAAAAAAAAAAAAAAGAAGGGAAAAAGGAAAAGAGCCAGCCATTAGATCGCGACAAAGAACTGAAAATTTGCACCACCTAATTTGACGTTAGGCAGTGCAAATTCCCATAACTTTAAAAAATTAAAAAGTTCTCTATGTAGAGAGATAAGTCTCTTTTAGAACAAAATTTTAATATTCTAATAAATTAAAACTCTATATCTATGAACAACAATAAAAGAAAACTCCTTTTATACATATACATGTAAGTACTTCAATAAACTCCATTAAGTTGTTTTGCAGGACTTACTAGTTTGAGACTTTGAGAGAGTTATTGCTCGATAGCAGTCTCAAAAGACTTGTCTTCGACCTGGTGATCTTTAGTGTACTTGAGTAAGAGAGAGAATACCCGTAGTTTGCATTGTTGCTTTTAGATTGATCTTAGTCTTTCTCTTTCTCTACTATTTTTTCTCAACAATTCTATTCTTTATTTTTTTTTACATTAACTTTTTTGACATGCATACAAAATTATTTATGAAGAAACTTTGTCATTTTTATATCAAATATGTATAATAACATCTTATGGTTAGACTTAATAAATGAATATATCAAATTTAGTTAAAATTTGAGTCAATGCAAGTGATAAGTCAAATAAATTATAAGTCAAAAAAATTATCTACAACATATTAATGTTACAGGTTTGTAAAATTATGATTGAAACAAATCAAATCGCGTGTTAAATTAGAAGAATCAAAATAAATTGTGAATACTTCGTAAAAAAAAATTAAATTGTGAATTAAGAGGCCTAATTAAAGACACTCTTTTAAGTGTACAGGCAACATTTTAAATGGACAAGTAAAATCAATTTTAGTTTTGCCAAATCTAGGTCTACTGAACATATATATTATCAAGAATCTTTAGTTCTATCAAGAATCTTTAGTTCTATAGTCTTTCTTTTCATGTGTATACTTTGTTTACAATTTTTTTTTTCATAAAATTAAAAAAATAGGGAAGAAACATGATATTGGCTGCACAAATTATTAGAACTTTAGTGTGTGTTTGATATAGTTAGTAAGAAGACTTTTATTGGTCTAAAAAGTACAAGCTGTGCCAAACACCACTTTGAACAGTGAGCTTCTCAAAAGTTAATTGAAGCAGCTTGAAGCTTCTACACATAAGAAACTGAGAAACACTAATTTGGTAAACTTTCCATTTGACCTATTAGCTCTTAATATATTTACACCTAAACCACACATATAAAGCTATCAATTTTAACAAATCCCTAACCTCTCTCACGCTCGTTGCTCCTCCAACAATTCTTCCTCTCTTTTCCATCCAACAGTCGGTTTATGTTTTCCGGCTCCCTCATCTTTCTACTTGCACCCATTTATCAAAGGCCAAAGCCCCTATTTGCACCCTCTATTTATTTTTTTTCTGCGGTCAACACCTTTCACAATTTTCCCTCCCTATTCACACCCTTCACTTTTCAAAACCCTTGAAAAACCCAATATTTTAACTGGCCGTCACAGCACTGTTAAAAAATATATTATGTGGCACCCAAAAATTAACGTGGCACTATGTAACGTTAATAATCCAACGTGGATCTTTTTTTTTATGACGTGGTTTATTATTTACAGATTTGGACACCACGTATACAGTGAAAATAATAAAAAATTATAATATTACCAAACAGTTACATAAATGGTATTTTTTCATTTTTTTTCTTTCTCCCCTCATCCTCGGCATCATCTTCACCATCCTCGCGGGGAACCCAGTTCGGGTTCTTGCGCGGAACCCAATTCTGGGCT